TATACTCTGGCAGTGTGAAAGAAAACCTGGATAATACAAGAAAAATATATTTGAATAAATCGATATCGGAGGAAAAAATCAGTAAAAAAGAAAAACTAATGACATCTGTGTTGGTCGAAAATAATCGATCAACACCGCAATGGCTGGTCAAAAGAAAAAAAAACCACACGAGTAAATTAAGTAAAAACATAAAAGTGTTCAATACAATAAGTAGAGCAAAATCTAAAAATCCGAGTAAGCCAGAATCTACCTACCAAGGTTTCACATAACGGATCTTATATGTCATACTTATTATAAAACCCAGGTTATATGTGTGTGTGTGTGTGTGTGTGTGTGTGTATGTTTGTTCGTTTATATATTAGAGGGGATTTCCTATATATATATATATATATATATATATATATATATATATATATATATATATATAAAATATAGTTTTATTTTATGAAAGTATTTATTTATTTATATACTAATAAATAAATACTTTCATAAAATAAAACATTATATATATATATATATATATATATATATATATATATATATATATAATGGTAAATGACAATGTGCACTTTTTCAAGGCAAAAACGAAATGAATTTATTGAAAACAAAGTAAATATTAACAAAAAAACAAATTTTTCAGTTGACAATGTGAATACAATATCGCTTTCTAAATTCTTCTAGTTGTTAAGGACATTTTGTTTGTCTGTTGTCTTTTACCTTTATACATATTGTCTTTTTCTATAGGATGACAATGAGAAATCATTCATATATATGTATATTTATATATATATACAGAGTGCGAAATATTTGTTACCAAATCAAGCAATAAGTATAATTAATATTTCTTAGCAGATTAGTATTGTCAATGCAAATTGGTAATCTTACTTATTATAAAACGCAGATTGTGTGTGTGTGTGTGTGTGTGTGTGTACGTTTATATATTGGATCGGATTTCCTACATTTTTCAACCGATTTCAACAAAACTTCACAGGACTACATAAAATTACCTTGCGGTGGTTCTAACAGTGCCAAAAATTGGAAAAACACAATTGTTTTTGCACGAAATCAATTTGAAAACACGATTAAGAGGCATCGCTGTCGCGAGAATGAATGAGGCACAACTCATATCGAGTTATACTTATAAAACCCAGGTTGTTTGTGTTCATTTATATATGGGATCGGATTTCCTACATTATTCAACTGATTTCAACAAAACTTCACTTTTTTTGGCAGGTAGTGTTTCTTATTGTCTTGCACACTTTTTTCTTTATTTTTACATTCAGAATGCTTTAAAAATTCCATTTACAAGACGATTGTTTATAATAAAATTCTATTCAATCTGTAGACTCATAACGATTGAAAACAATGTTTTTGTTTGAGTTTGGGTTTGACCAATTCGTAAAAAAAAACTAATTAAGACATGCGTGTCCGTCAACCTTAAACAATAATCTTTGTCAATTTTATTTTTCAGTCTTTATGATGGTCGATATTTGATCTATCTCTTACTGTTACATCCCCCGGCAACGCTGGGCTCTACTACTACTATATATATATATATATATATATATATATATATATATATATATATATAAAGCTAGTGAGACAGAACACTTACCTACCAAGGTTTCCCTAACGGATCTTCAGGATATATATATATATATATATATATATATATATATATATATATATATATATATATATATATATATATATATATATATATATATATATATATAAAGGAAGCAGGTAATATTAATATTACCTTTCATATCGTATCAACGTATGAATTCTTAATATATAAATATGGATCGTTTGGAATTATTTTTTTTCTTAATAGATGAATTGATGATCCAGTTTTTTAAACGAACTTTAGCATAACTTAGAGAAAGTATCTGCCGTGGTGCGGAATGGTTAGCGACTCGGAATGAGAAATCGGGTGCCGAGTTCGAATTCTAGTCGATTGCATTACATTCATTTACGCACAAATACCCGTATTAAAGGAATGAATCACTATTCCACTCCCAGCTATGGATTAAATAGTTGAGCTCGTATCTGGAAAAAATCATTGTTAGCAAAAAAAAAAAAAAATGTTCATGTATTATTCACTTGCAAAAGAAAATAAGCGAAAAAGAATTATTCTTATAAAAAAACTGTTTCTACTTTAAAAGGTAGATAAGGCATAACACTTAAAAAAAAGTGAAATACCGTCTTGTCATAATCTAGATTAAAATTTTGCATACGAAACGCTCTACAAGTTTTATCTCGTTTAAACATGTCGACTTGATTAAAGTTAAATAGTACTTATGAAAATATAAGTAGTTTTGAAAGCTATCCTGCTAAATAATATAAGTTTTAGTTATTCTGAATCACGCTCTTGAAATTTAGTCTTTAAAATTGAAAGAAAATATATGCAAATATATCTGTCATAATTCCAGTAAATATTTGAACCCGATTTGAACTTGAACTGGCATGAATGTGGTTCAGCTGACTGTCATGGCTG